CAACGCCTGTATGAGTGAATGGAGGAGAAAAGGTACTACGTGTAGCCGGAAGGCTGCCCATCAGCTGAGTCTGCAGCCGCTTTTTAAACACGACGCAGACCTTGCATGAGTTGATGGTGGCTTTGACCAAATTCCGCAGTTTGGGGATCCAAAACTTCGCTCGGACGAGGCTGACGGTCAGCTGGTTCCCGCTGTGAAGGGATAGCCGATGGACGAAACGGACTAGGAGCCGAGAATAGGCACAGCTGTAAGGCAGGACGATTGGATGTCGCTCGTCGTAGGTGAGCGAGTCGGAGGAAGACAATCGTCCGCATGCCCGGATGACACCTAGATCATCCATAAACGGATTCAAGTTTTGGAGGGAGCTGCTGGAGGATATCCTCTTCTGATTCGACAAGGCGCCGTATTCATGGGGATACTCCTTCTTTTGGGCGCAAATCGTCAAGATCCGCTGGGTCCGGACCAGCTCCTGGTGTGTCAGCTCCTTGGTCGACGGAGTGGGAGCCTTCTGGCAGCGCTGCACAAAACGCTGGATATACGCCATGACCCTGAGCGCTCTCCCAAAGTCGGAGAACCGCTCAAGGAAGTCTGGAGCTGAAGCCAGTGTGGCGACATGCGTTTGGACGCGGCGTTGTTCCATGTCCGTCTCCTGTGGGGTCTGCTCTTGAGCAGGCCAATTCTCTTTCGGGGTCACGAGCCAGGCCGGCCCATGCCACCACAAGTCGCTGTCTCTTAAGTCCTGCGGAGAGACTCCTCGGCTCGCGAGGTCGGCGGGGTTATGCTCAGAGCGAACGTGGAGCCAATCATCTTTGTTTGTGGCTTGGACAATTTTAGCCACTCGATTGGCCACAAAGGTGGTCCAGTTGCACGCGGGCTTGCGCAACCAGGCTAGCACAATGGTGGAATCAGTCCAACACTGAATCGGAAGGCTACTGAGCGGAAGGTGTGGCAGGATTGAAGCGCACATATCAGCTAGTAGGACTGCGCCACATAATTCTAGACGTGGCAGCGACACTGTTTTGGTTGGAGCCACTCTCGTTTTGGCTGTAAGGAGGTGGACTCGGATTTCCTGGCGAAACTCTACTCGGACGTAGAGTGCGGCTCCGTACGCCCGCTGTGACGCGTCGCAGAAACCATGGTACTGGAAGAGGCATTCAGGGCGGAAATCTACCCATCTCGGAATCCGGATCTGGTCAAGCTCTGGGTAGCTCTGTAGAAACTCGTACCACCGTTGCAGGAGTTCTGCGGGGAGCGGATCGTCCCATCCTATTCCGCTTAACCAAACCTCCTGCATGAATATTTTTGACTGTAAGATGAACGGGGCCAGCCAGCCTGCCGGATCGAACAGTTTTGAGATTTGCGACAGGACCTTGCGCTTCGTAAAAAGGACCTCCTTCTCCATGCCATTCACAACGAATAGGAAATCGTCGGTGGTGGCCTTCCAGCGAATGCCCAGTGTTTTCGTCAAGCTGGCTTCTTCCAGGTCCAAAAAGTCGGCCCGCAACAGATGCTCTGCCGGGAGACTCCGCAAGAGCCCCTTCTCGTTCGCCGTCCATTTCCGTAGCGGAAAACCGGCAGCTTCGAAAGCCTTTTGGAGTTCCCCAATCGACGATAGCGTGTCCTGCCTTGAATGCGCTCCAGCCAGGACATCGTCCACGTACATGAACTCCTTCACGATTTGGCTGGCTAATGGATACTGCGCTTGTGAGTCTTCTGCGAGCTGCTGAAGGACTCGGATGGCCAGGAAAGGCGCACAGTTTACTCCAAAGGTGACTGTGCCTAATTCGTAATCGCACAAAACCCCGTCTGGATTGCGAAACAGGATTCTCTGAAACGGAGTGTGTTCAGGATCGACTCGTATTTGCCGATACATTTTGGTGATGTCGCTACTGAACACATAACGAAAGAACCGCCACTTCAGTACCTGCAGGATCAGGTCAGACTGAAGGACCGGTCCAGGATGTAGGACATCGTTTAAACTTTTCCCATTAGATGAGGGACTGGAAGCATTAAACACCACGCGGAGCTTGGTCGTGCTGCTGTCTGGCTTGATGACTGCGTGGTGAGGGAGATAATAATTGCAGCGGCTCGTGGGCGGAGGGACTTGGTGCATGTGGCCCAAATCCAGGTACTCATTAATGACCGCGTCATATTGCGCCTTCAATGGCGCATTCCGCTGTAAACGCGCCTCGTTCCTCAAGAGCTGCGCCAACGCGATCGACCTCGAATGGCCCAATTCGATGTTTTGCGGATCCTTGAAAGGAAGCGAAACTACGTATCTTCCATCCGCCTGTCTCCTGGTCGTGCTCTGGAACAGCTGTTCGCACACCAGATCTTCTGCCTTGGACCGGCTGGCTGGGACATCCTCCACCTCCCAAAACTTGGTGAGCAATTGCTCAATCGCTGGCTCATTGTCCACAGTCACACGGGTCGCAAACGATGAGATGGAAGTTTGTTCAGCGGCTGCCACCGGACCAGTCAGGATCCAGCCGAACACGGTCTCCTGAGCGTGTAGGGAGCCACATATATTGGACTTGGATCCAGCCAAAAATATAGCCGGCAATATATCAGCCCCGATGAGCATGTCTACCGGCGAACTGATGTAGAACGTGGGGTCCGCCAATGGCAAATCTGGCAGATTTCTCAGTGCTTCTTGAGAGAACGAGCACGATGGGATATCCCCAGCCAAGTGTGGTAAGACAAAAGCCGATGTATCTATCTCGACCATCGGCTGAGTGGGCGCGACCAACTTGAAGGCGCATACTTTGGTGGTATGGCCTGAGACCGTTCTATTGAGCCCGGAAACCTGGGCACGAATTCTTTTGAAAGGCAGCTGGAGCCTGCTGCGTAAGCGCTCTGAAATAAATGTTCCCTCGGAACCTGAATCAATCAGAGCACGCGCTGTGTAAATTGTGCCCGCGTGACGAATGTTGACCATGGCTGTGCTTAAAAGCACGCCTCGGGTGTGCGAGGAAAAGTATGTCTGTACATTAGGAGGAGTGGACTGTATATCGTGGAGTGACGACTGAGGAGCTGATGTGGGAGGCACGAGTGGAGTCGGGGCACCGCGGTGCAATAACGTGTGATGGCGTCCCTTACACGTGGAGCACGAATACTGACTCGTGCAGTCTTTCAGCTGGTGCCCTCTGGCGAAGCAGTTCAGGCACAGCTTTTGCTTCTTAATCACACCGGAACGCTCCTTGACCGTCATTGCGAGGAAACGCGGGCACAGACGAATTGGGTGGTTTTCTCTGGAACAGAGGTTGCAGGTCTGCGTCTTTACTCTGACTTTTGCCTCAAACGAGTTGACTCTCCTCGCAGCCGGCTCCTTTTGAGCTGACTTTGGCACGCGGACGCTGGTGCTCGATCGCACATCACTTATCGCTTCGAGAGTTCGATAGCGATCTGACAGGAATTGGTTCATATCGGACCAGGGAGGAATCTCAGTCTTGTCTTTAACAGACTGTTCCCATAAAGAAAGGGTCTGCTGTGGGAGTCTGGTGGCGCAGAAAAAGACTAAGCCGCAATCCCAATTTTCGGTACTTATCTTCGCGTTTTCCACAGCTGTTAAGCAACCTTGAATGGTGCTCTGAAGTTCCTTAATGGAGGCGCCACACTCTGACGAGATTGGTTGTATGTTGGCAAGGACCTTTAATTGACTATTGACGAGAAGCCGTTTGTTTTCAAAACGGTCAGTCAGGTCCTTCCATGCAGTAGCGAAACCGCTATTAGTGAGTGGCGACCTCGAAACGATAACCTTCGCTTCTCCACTAGTTTTGGCGTTAAGGTGGAACATTTTCTCGACCTCGGACAGACGCGAATTGCGAATGTACACGGCCGTAAAGAGATCCCGGAACGTAGGCCATTTCAAATAATCGCCAGAGAACACCTCGGTATCCACCGGTGGCACATTGAAGCCCCGAGCTTCGACAGCAGGCGCCGAGGGATTGTGTGACGCGGATGCCTGTTCAATCTGCCCGGATACCAGACAGACACACCGCTCGTAGACGCGATAGCAATTTTCGTATCTAGATTGCATCGCCTGCTTGTCAGGAACACCGGCCTCTAACTGGGTTAGAGCCCTGGAACACGACCGCTGTTCTTGCTCAACCCTTTCCCAAAGGACCTTGACTTGGTCTAGACGAGTCTTGAGCATGACAAGCGGATCTGAGGCGGATGAGGAGGCCAAAAGCGCCTCGAATTGGCACAGGCTATCGCTAACGGAAATAAAGTTATCTAATGCCATTTGGATTTTCTGAGCCGCGATATGAACAGCTGAACGTGTAGCTGGACTAGTTCTCGTTACAACGGGAACTTCCAATGAGTCCTTCTCATTGTCGCTCGGCATTTTGAGCTTCCACACAGGCCTGACAAGCAATAAGTAGAAGTGGGCGCGCTATAGGCGCTTCGGATGGACACGGACGGATGCGCGCCGAAAGCAACAAGTGGCGTTTAGGACTGCGCCTTGCTTGTTGGCAATATAGAACAGGACACGACCAAAGAAAAGAGGAGGAGGCGGCAGAATCTATATATGTAGTTCGACTTCGCTGTGTGTCCCAATGTGGCTTACGAACCGACTGGCTCGTAACAAAAGCACCTGGAAGTATGGTTTGGCTCTTAGTAAATTCCAATAATACAGCTGGATACGCTGAACACTTGCGAGGTAACAGCAATAATAATAATGGCAGCAACGGCGACAATTAGACGGCGGCAGTTCAACGGCGACAATAAATCCTTATTAAATTGTCAATAACTCCTCAGGATGCGCTGAAATATGCAATGCGACTCCAAAGGAAACAAATGCCACCGATATTTAATTTATTTTTAATTTTATTAAATCTTTGTTGTGACAAAATCACTGCTGCCAGTAGCAATCGGTTTTCCCTTTATTATCGAAATTAATGTAAATTATTTGTAATTCGTGACCGTGACTAATATTCGGTCACACTCCAAAGTTTCGATATTCCGATAACCGGTTCCCAACAAGTGCGCATCACTTGTTGACGAATTGTGCAAATAAGAATTTTATGCCAAAAAAAAACAATAGAATATTCGCCGGTGAGCGCGCGCTGGCGCTGGCGCTGGATATGGCACGACTGGAGCGGAGTGCTAACCGGAATACGGGTAAGTTGGTGGGAGTCGCGGACCGACCGTGTCGTGTTACAGGAATTGTGTTAGTAAATATGTGTAATTGTAAATATGAACATATGTATGATTGTGAATGTATGTTTAATATGGATTTAATTTGTATATTTGTTTGTAAGCATGTGGGGAACTATGGTTATTGGGTAGATTCGGAATATAGATGTACCAGTATATGGATGATGCGTAGTGTGCAAGTGTATAAATATTTAAGCAGATGTACAAAACCGTATATTTGTTGTGCGCGGAAACATGCAAGCGCTTAGAAAATATGCTTGTGGTTTGTGGGACATGCAAGCATTAACAAATATGTATGTTTGTGGACTATGCAAGCATCAAAACATACGTTTGTTGTAAGTGACGGTGATTATGCAGTGATAGTGCGTTAGGACGGCAAGTCCAGTTGTGTTTTTCACTGGACACTTGTTGCACATATGAATGAACACGTCCCAAGTATGCCGGTATGCAATCGCGAACGGACAGATTGGTTCTATACTGCTAATTCGTGCACTTTATGTATTTTTGGTTGAGCTGACCGGCGCGGTATCAGCCGTATACGAATGGGGCCCTTGGATCAGGGACGGAAAGCGGGATGCGGATTCCGTTTTTGGAAGTCGGCGGACAGACCGACAGAAAAAACCAATATGGCGTAAGTACTGAGCCAAAAGTAACTTTTTACTTAGCTGTTTTCCCTTATAGGAGTCCAACGCCAGGAACAAGCTGGGGCGAACGGATGGCTGGCACAAAACGAGGATGAGTATGGATGGAGGTGCCTCAAAAGTATCCGGCTCGAAGGACCATGTGGTCGTCGGGGGGCGTCGGGGATAAAATGTCCAAACTCCAGTACAAGAACAAAATGGCGGGATTTTCAGGTTTCAAAGTGCTCTTCTGCACGTATGTATTCACTTCATATAAAGACAATTTGTAACTAACTTAACCTAGTTACAGCGCCCTGGTCCTTAACTAGCGTGTGGGAGAGAGAGGGCGCTGACGCCAGCCGCGCTGTGCTAGCAGATGTTGCTAGCGAATGTTGCTAGCAAACGTTGCCAGCCTGCCATGCAGGCTACTAGCAGTGCTGCCACGTCAACAATAGTAATTCAATAATAGTGAAATCTTAAGGCTAATAACAAAAATGTGCAATATTCAAAATTGTGCAATATAAAAATAGGAAAACTTAAATCTAGTAATTCAATATAATCATAATAGTTTGGGGCGCAGAATTTAATTGCGTCACAATGTGTGTAAGGGAACCAAAGTGACGTCGGCGTAGGTGAGAGAAGCACGTCAACGGCTGATCTTGCAAGTAACGCAAGCATCACAAAAGACAATTAGCAATATAGCGCAACAACAACAACGTACCAACATGCGCTGTTGACTCTAGCTTGCAGTGGCTAGACCAGTGCGGCAATAACGAAGAGAGCGCAAAAGGCAGAGTCCAAATCAAACAGCGCAGAAGAAAGGCGCGCTGAACTGAGAACTTTTGGCGCTTTCAAATTCTTGCGGTACTTTGATATAGCAAATGTCCAAAGTACAGCAGCAATATATAAATACAAATATGTTGGCAAGTGGCAAATATATGTATATGTATGTGGATGAACTTGCATATATGTATAAGATCAAATGAAAATATGCAAAATATACACCAACGAATATGTATGGTCAACTTAATGAGTTTTGTAAATTGTAAATCAATTACATACATACTATATGTGCCTGGCAGACAATTAACATATGTATGTGCTAAGTGATTCTTGTCGAGTGCTCTCTTTATTTATTTAATGCACAAACGGCAGATTGGCCACTATTTACTTAGGATTCGTTACCTGTGTGCAACTTCCCTGCGTGTTGTTGCAATGCATTTCTAATTAGCTTTAATTAAGAGAGCCCAAGCCCAATATCCAAAACACTCGTATGTATGCTGCACAACCAGCTGGCAGCAATGACTCCAGACCCAATGTGCAGTGTCCAACAACGTCAACGAAGAGTCAAGCAAAATTGCCGGTAGGCAAAAGTACAAATGGTGACTCGTCGCGACGGTCCAAACAAAGATGTATGTATATAAGTGGTTTGTAGACTTATATACAACTAGCAGGTATTGCCCGTCTTAACCCGGCTAAATATAATGTTTCCAATTGTATTTATTTTGTGTGTGCATAACCTACCCATATGTTTTCACCTTATAAGTTACCAGTAGGAAGGCATTTAAGGTATTTAAATGAACATTTTCTGTTCTTGACAAAAAATTGTTCAGTAGTCCGTTACATTTTTGTTCTTGCCAAACTATTTCGTTAAACGAACATGACCACTATAACTAATATTTTTTAAAGCTCGTTTCCCCCCTTTGGAGCTATAATTTTCCAAAAGCCTTTCTTAGTGTGCTCCTACACTATGATGGATACTATGAAAGGATACTTGAGTCCAAATTTCATCTTTTACCGTTTGGGCTGTGCGTTGATCACCAATTATATAGATCGCAACGTTTTAAGATAGACTATGTGCAAAAAAGGGGAATAATTATAAGGGTATATCCTAATTTTAAATTCACATTTGAGTCTTCGTGCCATATTGAGTCAATACGGTCACGCACAAACTCGGAATATGAACAACGGCACTCGTGTCAATGCCGTGCAGCGATGAGCCACGATCAATCTCATCTCAATTCTCATCTCAATTTGCTAGAGTAAAACTTTCGATAGTTGAAGCCACCGATACCATCAAAATATCGAAGTTTGAATGCAATAAGCAGAATATTCAAATAATAAAATCTAATTATTTATTGAGATCAATAAGAACAAATCATATACATACATACATCTGCCCGCAATGCGAAGCAGAATATGCGTAGCTCTGTTATTCGGTTTCTGCTTTACTATCGCTTACGCAGTCGTTGCCTAGCGACGGTAACTGTAAGCTTTTGGCGTTTTGCCTTTGCAATTAACATTAAATGGTCAAAACGAAAGAAGAAGAGCGAGCCAATGACTTGCAGTTGTTATTGTTTTTAGAGCATCATTTTTTTTACAATCAAACAAATGTGTTCGATTGGCCAATGTATACATTAATACGAATGTACATACATGCTTAATTCATACACAGGCATACATACATATGTATGTTTTTCTTTACTTTTTCAACCGTACGTAGAGAACCGCACACATAGACACGAACTGTTGCTTGTTGTGTGTGTGAGTGTGTGTATGTGATGTCCCCAACTTTTTGATATTTGTTGTTGCTGCATAAAGTTATTAATGAAAACCCTAATGCCAAATGCACTAAACAAAGAAAAAATTACTTTTAAAAATGTTATATAATTTTCAATTAATTAACATTTCATGCTCTGTCAGTACAAGACGAATGTACATACATACATATGTATATACATATGTATATACATAGATGTGCACATATGTATGGACATTCACACATTAGTGTCTCACATTTTACTTTGGCTATTTCAATCGTTTGCACGCAACTACACGAACAGCTGCTTGTATGTGTGTGGTTGTGTGTTTGTGTGTGTATATGTATTTAGTATGTATGTAGTTGTCCCCAACTGTTTGATATTTTGTATTGTTTGTTCTGCCTGCTTTTGTAAAATGCATATTTTGAAAATCTTTGAATGCAAAGTTGTAGATTTAGTTACGTAGATTACATTACCCAAATTTTAAATCGATCGGACTAAATTTATAACACAAGCTTTTCATTTGAAATAGTGAATAAATATTAAAACCCCAATAATTTAAGCTACAACACAAATTTCGAAAATCTAAGTATGCAGTTTTGTTTGTATTCTTTAATTGATTTTAGAAACTAAGTTTTAAGTCGATCGCGGTTTGCTTTTGTGCCCCAACATTTTTTTACAGGAAAACTCCCATATTTTAGGCTCCAAAAAAAATATCAAAAAACCAAGTATACAGTTTTGCTTGGAATTGAGTATACAAACTAAGTTTGAAGTTAATCAGATGAAAACTGTAGATTTTTCATACAAACGTTGGAGCCTGTTTCTCCGCTGTCCATGTCGATATAGCCATGTCCGTCCGTCTGTCTGTCTGTCTGTCTGTCCGTTTGTCTGTATGAGCGCAAGGATCTCAGTAAGTACAAGAGCTAGGATAACCAAAATTGGTATCAAGGTTCCTATAAGTCCTAGGCAGATCGAGTTTGTTTATTTTTTCTGATCCACCCCCCCCCCCACTCCCCCCCTATTAACGATTTTCTATAACTCCCGTAATTCTTGGAACTAAAATTTGGTAGTCACATTATGTTAGTGATTATATATCCGTATACCAAGTTTCATTATGATAGAATGATCGGAAAGAAAGTTATAGCCATATAACCATGCCCAATGCGCACATACATACATATGTACAAGTACAGAAACACGCATAAGGCACGATTCTGATGTAAATGTAAATATATGTATGCATGCATGGAATATTTTATATTTAATTAGTTAAAATTTAGTTAATTAATTAAATTAATTTAGTTAATTAATTTAATTAAATTAATTAATTAATTTAATTACTTTTTTGTGGGGTGGTACAGGGTATTTAAGAGTTGAGCCTGCTCGACTTTAGCATTCCTTTCTTGTTTTTATCTGTGACGGTGGGTGTGCAGTAGAACGTGTTCAGGCGGCAAATCCCGGTGTGTTTTTCACTGGACACTTGTTGCATATATGAATGAATATGTCTCAAGTACGCTGAGATGCAATTGCGATTAGCTCTATGTGGCTAATTGTTGCACTTTCTTCTTGTTTGAGCTGACCGGCGTGGTTACTGCCGTGTACGGATGGGGCCCTTTGATCAGGGACGGAAAGCGGGATGCTGATTCCGTTTTGGGGGTCGGCGGACAGACCGACAGAGAAATCCATATGCCGTAAGTATGGAGCCAAAAGTAAATTTTTTACTTAGCTGATTCTCCTTGTAGGAATCCAACGCGAAAAACAAGTTGGATTGCACTGGACGTGGGGTGTTGTAGGAGGTGCAGAACTTCTTATCCGGCTCGAAGGACCATGTAAATATGTAGAAGGGTGTCGTGTAGATTTTCCTAATCTTCAAAAATGGCTGCCGTAAAAAGAACAGTTGTGCCAATTTCAGGTATCACAGCAGTTCGTCTGCTTTCGTTCACGTTTATTTCTCTTCTAATCTTTCCGTTTAAGTTGCTTAGCCTAATTTACATTTTTGTTCTTACTGCTAACATAACATTGCGCTGCTGTTGTTAACAGCGGCTGGCTATGTAAAAGTACGATGCAGCGTTGCCACTTCAACACAGAGTATTTCAAAGTCGGGACACCCGACTTTAGCTTCTATACTTGTAAAAAATATATTACTGTTGTATGCCCGGAACTCAAATAAGAGCGACTGTATGCTGCGTGTGTTCCTTTATTACTAGTTTTATATGTACAATGGATATTTGTATTAGTTATTATTCGTGTGTATGAGTATAAGAGTAAGGTTTACAAAGTAGAACGTTTGAGATGAAACGATTAGTTCTTGTGTGCTTATTTTAGGGTATTTTGTTAGTAAATTTTCACATCCTCGGCCCCGGCAAGCTCGATTGGATTTCCAAAGGGTAGAGAAGTTGAACAGGCCGGCGCAGGATTTGTTGATTCTTTGATCTGTCGCAAGCTCTAGTTCTTCCATCTCGTCCAGTGTATGTTTTGACTACTACACCAAGTTTCCATAGTAGTCGCGCCTGATTATCATCGTCACCTTCAGTTAAGCTTCGACTCAGTTTTGACCTGTTAAAATAAAGAGTTCGTAATTGAGCGAGATATTCCTCGCGCCAACGCTTTATGTAGCGCTGCATCAAATTGGTTCTGTGGCGCCACATTTGCGCCAAATTGCTTCCATCTGTTGTGAAGCCTTCGCCACCTAGTAGTTTGGCCTCTCCCATAAAGTGGGCTGGTGTGAGAGGCTCTAAATCGTTAGAGTCAGTGGTGATGTACGTAAGAGGTCTTTGGTTAACTACGCATTCCACTTCGGTGAGCAGTATCTCCAAGTTTGTTTTGCTAAGGCTAGCTTTTCCAATGGCAGCTCTTAGGCAGCCTTTTACAGTGCGCACAAGTCTTTCCCAGAATCCGCCCCACCAGGCTGCTCGTTCTGGGATGAACTGCCAATTTATACCTCCATTGGCCGCATATTGCTGAATCTTGCTGTTTTCCATCAACTTCTCCAGTTTCTGCAGTTCCAGGCTGGCTCTTTTGAACGTCTTTGCATTGTCGGATATTATAGTTTTGACCGGTCCTCGCCTTGCTACAAATTTACGGAGCGCACCTATGCAGCTTTCGACAGTCATATCCGCTACCAGCTCCAAATGTACACCGCGTATAGCAGCGCAAGTAAATAGCATAATGTAGACTTTACGATTGCTTGGTCCCCTCTTCTGTTGCTATATAAAGCGGACCAGCAAAATCCAGTCCTGTTGTTTCGAATGCTTTGCTTGTAGTCAATCGATTCGTTGGTAGAGTTGTCCAAGGTTCGGATGCGCTCTTGCCATGTAGCCGTCTGCACACCACACACCTGCCCAGTACATTCTTGATCAGATGGCGCCCTTTTATTATCCAAAATCGTTTGCGAATTTGTGTTAATGTAGCGTTTATACCACAATGCATTATTCTCTGATGAGCATCTCTAATAAGCAATTCTGAAAAATGTGAATTTTTCGGTAAAATTATTGGATTATATAGCGTTTCAAAATTATGGTTGGGTAAACGCCCTGTAAGCCTCAATACTCCATCAGTCATGGCTGGATTTAAGCAGATGATCCTTGAGTCTCTTGGCAAGTCTTTGCCGGATTTCAATGCTTCAATTTCGGGTAAGAATTATTTTCCTTGTATAAAACGAATCCAATATAGCTCGGCTGCCTGTAGCTCTGAAAATGATAGCGCCTCGTTGATCTCGTTTTCAGAGACGTTCTATAAAACGTAACACAAAGCCGGTTACACTAAGCATTTTTCGCAGTGTGCTATATCGTTGAACAGGAAATAGTGGTTCCGCTTTGCTGCCAAGATCGTCTTCTTTCTCCCCTAACACAGTTAAAATTGTATTTATGGTTGGCCATTCGTGGATTGTCCTGAAATCCAGCTTGAGTCCGACCACATGAAGGTCGAAGAGACGCCGAGCCTTAGCTCCTTCTTTAGATATTGAGCAAGTCTAGAGGCCACCACTGCTGCCGTAAGTTCAAGTTTCGGTAAGGTGGCTCCACTACTCTCTTTGATTGGTCTTACTCTATTTTTTGAGCAAACAAATTTTATTTGTATTTCGCCATTCATCCCCACTTCTCTTAAGTAAGCGACGGCTCCATAAGCAGCAGGGCTTGCGTCTGCGAAAATGTGCAGTTCTAGGTCAGCCATATTTCCCGACACCATACACCGCTGCAGGGAAAAGTCTTCAAGCAATGCCATATCCTCTCGCCAGGCCATAAACTCGCCTGATAGTCTGGTGCTGAGTGTTGCATCCCATTCTAGATGCTCCTTCCATATCTTTATTTATTTTATTTATTTATTTATTTATTTATTTATTTATTGTTAATTACTTCCTAGCGCAACAAGTAGAGTTACTTATATGTTATAGCACTAGTCACATAAAGAGTTTTACATATGTACTAAACTAGTTAGTTTATAATGAGTAAAATTTGGAGTAAAATTTTTATGTTTATTGTAAATGGACCGAGAATGCCCAATGGATCATAAATTCTGGCCATAGCTCGTAATACGTTGCGTTTTGTTGGACGTAGACTCTGAACATACGTTATGATCGGTTTTATGTCTACGCTCAATTCGTCAGTTATAGTGTCCCATTGGACTCCAAGCACCTTTTGAACTCTTGCTAAATTTACATCAGTTTCTTTAAATTTCCTTTTAAGTTCTGCATCGTTAGAGTTCCATTTTCGCAAGTTAAAGCTTGCGCCTTGCATGATGATCTTTGATTGGTAGTAAAGATCCTCTGCATCCCTTAATGTAGCCACGCTGGTTACCAAGTCGTCAACATAAAATGAGCCTTGCAGTTTCTGGCATATGGCTGCATGCGCCGGATCCTGCATTTGCAAGTGTTGCTGAATTGTTGACGTCAATAAAATTGGGCTGCATGTTACTCCAAAAGTAACACGTGTCATTCGATACTCCGCAATTTTCGGATATGGTGTGCCAATAGATGCTACTGATGCATACCAAAAGAACCGGTGGTAATCACGATCGGATTCATCTATAGATATCTGCAGAAACGCCTTTTCGATATCCGCAACGATACCAATTCTATAGCAACGAAATCTTATTAAAACAGCAGTTAAATCTGTTAATAAATTGATACCTGGGCTAAGATGATCATTCAATGAAGAAGCTCCGTGCTCGCTGGTTGTCGCTTTGTCGAGCCGATAGACCGGATGATGGGGCATATAGTATGCCTTCTGGGTTTCACCCAAAGCAGGTGCCGCTTCAGCCACTCCAGTTCTCAATAGCTCTTTGATGCCAGCATCGTATTCCTCTAATTTATCAGAATTTTTAAGCAATTTATTGCCCAAACTGCTTAGCCGATTCTTTGCATTTTGCTTATTGTCATGCAAATCCTCCTTTGGAAGCTTCCATGGTAAGCGCACTGAGTAGCGCCCGCCTATTTGGTGTATGTCGGCTGCCTGTACAGCAGCTTGTGGTTCGGAGTACGATGCTATGCCAATACTCTCCAAATTCCAAAATTGTTCAATGTCGAATGTTTCGCAATGCTCCAGAATATTTAAAACGCACCTTGATTCGCCTTGACCTTCACCATAATGACCTTGTATTGTCCAACCAAAGAAAGTTTCTACTGCGACTAAGTTTTCTGCTAATACAAGTAGTTCACGATTATTGTTATTAAATTTCCAGTAGTTGTCTTGACCAATCAGTAAATTAATGCCTGGAATTAGCTTTTCCTGGGCTACAATGCTTACAGCCATATTTTTGTTTGATTGTTTTATTAAACGCAGCACAGGCAATACATCCTCGCATATGTTCGGCACTACAGTTGCATAAATCTCCATGGTTTTATCTGAGTACTGACTCTTTACATTAATATTTGCGCGTTTGAATTGCGTTTCACGTGATTGTTTACCAGTTTGGCCGAATGCGACGATTCTAATTCTTTCCATACCTATGACGTTATCCATTATAATACGGGACAACACCTTTATTTCACCACTCATAAGAACCGCCTTAGCTGTTTGTAAATAAATCTCATTGTTTACGCGCTGCACCACTGTACTGAGTGTCGCTGTCTCTGTGTGTTGTTCTTGTTCACCGCCTTGTTTCTGATTTGCCTTGCCATCGCACACAGCTGTAATGTGCCGCCCGCTACAAAATCTTGCCGTATGATTTGGTTTAGCGCACCTGAAACAGCTTCCCTTACTACGCAATATCTTTTTTCGCAACTTAATGCCTGCTGTTTTATCCTTACACTCCTTTGTGTCGTGATTCGTACGTTTGCAAAATATGCATTGTTTCTGTTTCGTTTGTTCGATAGCATATAGCCCTACTGCCGTCGCATTGCCTGCTTCTCGAGTGATTTTGGTTTCCTTGCCGTCTCGTTCTCTCTTATCCCTATTTCCAACTTCGGACAGTTGTCTATGATATTCTATGCGCATGCCAACTGGAATTGATTTTAGAAGAAGTGAAGTAACCATAATCTCATATTGAGACGTGGAAACTCCGAGTGCCTTTAATGTTCTTATTGTTGCCTGCGTTTCATTATATAGTTGGCGCAGACCCTTCACGTCATTGTTTGACTGGGCGGCCTTCACACTCAACAGTTTTTGCACATACCTCTCAATTATTTTCTCTGTGCTTCCATACTCTTCGAGTAGCAGCTCGACGGCATCTTTGTAGCATGTTTCGGACGGAATTAATCCTTCAAGAACTGCGGCTGCTTCACCTGTTAGAGCACCATTTAAATAATTAAATTTTGCGACTGCATCCAACGAGCTATTTTCATGCACAGCTATTTTAAACTGCTCCCAAAAGGGTATCGAACGATCCATTGAATTTCTTTAGCTCGATTGGCTTTAATTTAGTGAAGCTCTTATAACTGTTGCTGCCTTCCGATTGTCGCTCATTTTCAAGGCCTCTCTCATTGTGGCCCGTTATAGGGTTTTGAGTGGAAATGGCCTGATGAGCCGATATAGCCATGCGGTGCAGCCTATATTCCAACCTCGCGACTGTACTTACAGCTCGGTGATCATATTCAATAATTACGTCGTAATCTCTTTCCTTTTCGTCTTCGCCAAATGGAGCTGACAAAGCTTGCTCATCTGCAAATTTTAGGTTTGCGTGTGCGTTTTTTAGTCGTTGCACGTACACGCTCAAGCCCTCCTCAGTGTCATCCTCGACCACCTTGAGGTACTTGTCGATATTATTACACAACTTGGTTAGTTGCGTTCTGCAGGTGGATCTATAAGCAGGATCCATCTTCTTGATTATATATGTATTTAATCAACGCCTTGAGTAACTGAAACACGCCCGTTAGTTATTCTTCTTGATTGTATATGTCTAATCAACCTCATGAATTTTAGAATAACGACAGACACTACGTTCCCGGGTTTCGGCACCATGTAAAAAATATATACTGTTTTATACCCGGAACTCAAATAAGAGCGACTGTATGCTGCGTGTGTTCCTTTATTACTAGTTTTATATGTACAATGGATATTTGTATTAGTTATTATTCGTGTGTATGAGTATAAGAGTAAGGTTTACAAAGTAGAACGTTTGAGATGAAACGATTAGTTCTTGTGTGCTTATTTTAGGGTATTTTGTTAGTAAATTTTCAAACTACTAGAGACGAAGAACATGACGAAACAGTTTCCCACCTCTTCTGCGACTGCCCAGCCTTGTTTAGGACCAGACAACGCTTTCTAGGAGATGGCCTCCTCCCAAATCTGTCAGCGTTAGCAAAAAGAAAGCCGATAAACATTTCTAAATTCATCCGGGCATCCGGATGGGTGTAAGAATTTGCGCAGAACTGCAGCCAACCACGGGGATATGAGAAGCGACTTGTCTACGCGGTACCACAACGGTCCAAATAAACACGGCCTAAGTGAGTTAGGGTTTTCATTAGCTCTGGCTGCCGCACCTAACGGCCAAGTTTTCAAAAAAAGCGATGGCTTAGTTCATAAAATCAAAATATTACTTCCACAGAAAATCCATAAAATACTGGAGTCATACCTACAGCAAAGAAGTTTCGCACTTAGATGCAAAGATTTCCTCTCCGAATACCATCCAATCGAAGCTTGGGCCGACACTGTAAATCATATACACAGCAGATATACCAACAAACATTCATACAACAATTTCGACATGATACTGATGATACTGCCATCCTAAGTCGCTCCAAGTGCCCAACAAGAGCTACAGAACTCTTATCATATCACCTCGTGGCCATACAAGAATGGCTAGCAGACTGGCGCATACATGTAAATGAGAAAAAGCGCAAACATGTCACCTTACCCTAAACAAACAACCTTGTCCTCCATTGTCGTTCAACAACATAAATATTCCACAGAAAAGCGATGTAACATACCTTGGTGTCCATTTGGATAGACGGCTTACTTGGCGCAAACACATCGAAGCGAAGAGAGATCAACTGAACCTAGAAGCTATTAATCTATATTGGCTTATAAACGTCCGTTCACCACTAAAACTGGAGTACAAAGTACTATTGTACAATGCAGTTCTCAAACCAATTTTTATACTCTGTACATGAAATGTACAGAAGTATATTAGGAAAGAGGCGTGGCAGACCCCACAAAGTATATATATTCTTGATCGGCATGACGAGACGAGTCGATCTAGCCCTGTCTGTCTGTCTGTCCGTCCGTATGAACACCTGGATCTCAGAGACTATACTCTTATAGAGATTTCCCCCCCAACTTTCCCCCTATGGGGGTTTTCCCGATTTTCCATTCGTATAATCGCCTATATCTCGGAGACTATAAGACCTAGGAACTCAAAATTTTAGTCCCAGATGCCTTATGTGAATACGCAGAAAATGTATATTTTGGAATTTCCCTCCCTCCCCTCTCTCCCCCGCAAATCGCGATTTTCTCTAACTCCCGTAATTCTTGGAATTTCGAACTCAAATTTTGGAAATACAGTTAGTTATTATGTGTCCGTATGCCAAGTTTCACTATGATAGACCGATTTAACAAGAAGTTATAGCCATAAATATATTTGCTGCTGCAGCGCTGCTCAAGCGCTGCCCGCGGCTGTTGTTGATGTTGCTGTTTGGTTGACTGCTAACATGTTTACACAGACACGAATACATGCGCATAGGCATACATACACTCACACAGACGCAATTGCTATGTAAAAGTGCAATTATACACCATTTACGTGAGTTCGAATACCAAAAGAGGTAAAATCGATCAAATTTTTTTTTTTTTTAATTTTTTTAATTTTTTTGTTGTTTTCTATAATTATTGTAAACATATGTACAGAGTATTTCAAAGTCGGGACACACGACTTTAGCTTTTTAACTTGTTCAAATGGAAAGTTTGTGTTATGAATGTTGTTCGATCGATTTCAAATTTGGTATTCGTAATCAACATAACTATATCTACAAATTGGCATTCAACGATTTTCGAAATATAGAAATATGTTTTTTACTTGCCAGATGCAGCAACAATAAATAACAAAGAGCGCACAATATCAAACAGTTGGGGACATTATATAAACACACACAGTGACACATTCACAGACACAAACAGAGATGGACAAAATCGGTGCTTTTTTGTTCGTGGCACATCGCTGCACTGCGTGCACACGAGTGCCGTGTTTCATATTCCAATAATGTGCGTGTTCGTGTTGACACAATAAAGAAACAAAAAAGAACACGACCATTATAGAATTTAAAGTAAGGAACTACTGCAATATTTATTCAATTTTTTTGCACAAAGTCTATCTTAAAACATTGTCTTATGTACATACATATATTATATTGTTGAAAAATCAAGGGATTTGGAGCGCATAGCTAAAAAATAACAATGTTAATGTTGGCCACATTTTCATAAAATAAATTAATATTTTACGAAAAAGTAATATTATGTACATATATCGGTCCTTGAAAATTGGACTACCATATACAAGCATAAATTTTGGGATTTACAAAAGCAGAAATACGTCTTTTACACTCACAACATTCATATTCAAAAAACATATGGATATGTATGTACATATAGATATATGAATGTACATTCATATGAGTATAGATAGCGACTGCATCAAAAAATAAAATGTACATATGTACAGCGATGCCAGACGTCCCGATTTTGATGGGACATCCCGATTTTTAAATCAAACTTAAATATCCCGCGCGGGACAGGCTCTGTCCCGCTTTTCGTGAATAACTCGACAATGCGTGCAGCGTGCTGAGGAATTTCGGACGAGTTGCACTTATAAGTGAGGACTGAATGTATATCGGTGTTAAATTTTACAGTGTTTAATTCTAGAAACTACTGGCCGCCAACTTCACAATCTATATATTTATGCATGTGTATATATATGTATTTTTTGTATAATATATTTGATTTTTGAACCCATTTTTTTTTTTTTGGAAAAATGGTATGTATTTATGTGCATTCATATATATGTATGTATGTGGGTATGTAAGTATGTGCAATCAACGCACAGCCCAAATGGTAAACGTTAAAAAGCTTCAAAGTGTAGGTGAGCACCAAGAAGTGGTTTTAGAAAATTAGAAATCCGATTAACTTTAAAATTGGTTTATGTATTTACTCTGAGAAAGAATAGAGAATAAACTGCGTTGTATTTTTATAACTTTTCATTATATACATATGTGTGTATGCTCATTTAAATGTTGTGCAGTTGCATAAGTTGACTAAATAACTTTGCCAAATTGTACAGATATTAATTCTAGAAATTACTTGCCTTGATTTATCCCTATCATACTATCATACTATATACATAAAACAAGATAGAACGCTACAGTCGAGCAAGCCCGACAGTAAAATAGCCTGTACTCTCCACAAAA